TGGAAAATGGCCTAGTCAAAGAACAGAACGGAGACATCTTATGGAAGTTCGTAGACGTCGAGAGTAGGTATCGATCATTCAACATGGCTTACTCTGTCCTACCTCCTCTCACCCAAGAAGGCATCCAATTTGAAGTCGAGACGGATATTGGCACGGACTCCGACCAAGGATACTCATCTCACGGGTCCTGCTAAAGGCCCGCTCGGTCCTCCCTCTTCACCCTCACCCCTTTGCATTTATTTCGGCTAGCATCGCATTGCACTGTAGTTCCCTCACATTGCATAGGTTTCATGAGTGTCGGAATACAAGAAAGCAAGCAAAATTAACGGGTTGTAAAATGATGGAATTGAGGGTTCTGGGTTCGGGATCCCTCAAGAATTGCACGGACGGTTGATGATGCTACAATACCTTCGGGTTTATCTTCCAAAAGGGGGTTTCAAGCATTTCATCTAGGGTTTGTCTCTCCCGAGCTTAAACTCACTGCCTAGAGAGTCGATTCACCCATTTTCCAATGACCCAAATGATCTCTAGATGCATTAATGTACCCCATCATGAACCCTAAGCAAGCTCGTCGGTCCTTCCTCTGATCAAACTTCCGGGATCAATTTCGCCAATGGGCGACCGCTCGGCATAATGAGCGGGCCGCCCATTTTCTCTCTGAGCCTTCCGGGACTTCTCGATTCCGCTCCTTTTTCGTGTCTTGTGCGTGAATGTCCTCGTTTGATCATCCTGCATGAAAAATGGAGAAAAGAATCCTACCCATGACCGTCTAACGTCCTATTATGCCTAAGGTATGTGCAAAGTATGATGTAAGACGTTAGAAAAACCGGTGAAAATCCCGTGTGATCAGAAACCGTTTACGGATTGAATCCGATCACATCCTTGGACCTTGTAGCACTACCTAGTGACGAATAGGTGAACGTAGAAGGGGGACAAAGGGCCGAGTTCATTAAAGAACTCCATCAGCAGGTGCATGACAATATTGCTCGGAAAACCGAACAATACGCCCGCCAAGCCAGTAAGGGTAGAAAGGCCGTAACGTTTAACGAAGGCTATTGGGTCTGGTTGCATTTTCGCCCGGAGCGGTTTCCCAACAAAAGGAAGTCCAAGTTGGCACCACGCGGAGACGACCCCTTTAGAGTCATCGAGCGCATCAACGATAACGCATATCGGCTCGAACTTCCTGGTGAGTATACCGTTTCTAATTCTTTTAATGTTACTGATTTGCGTCCTTACATTACAGGATCTGACTTTTCGTGGGCGAAAACCTCTCAAGGGGGAGGGAATGATGAGGACATGGAGCCGAAACGCGAACACTCGGAGCTGGAACCGGAGCAGGAGCACTTGGATACGGAGCACACGGAGCTAGGAGCGAACATGGACCCCTCGGAGCAATCAGCCGAAGACCAGCCCTTGGACACGTCAAGTGATCAAGACGTTACACGATCACTTGATCCCGCAAAGCTCGACAACGACCATCACACGAAGGGTGCTCCACGAGCATACATTAGGGTCGAGCCGCCAATCACTCACGCCAAAACTCGGGCACTTCGCCAACTGCTATATGGCATCGTTGATCAAGTCTTGAGTGGGACACGGGACAAAGACGAGGCCAACGCACCCCGACATGGCCTGCATCACGTCTTCACCATCATGGCCGAACCCTACATGCAAAAGGAAGCTTCTTGAGCTGCAAGCAAAGTCCCAACAGCTATATTCCTTCCAACCACCACATTAAATGCATTTTTGGCTCCTCTTGTGCATGTTAAGCACAATTAAGATCCCATTCTCTTTCTTTATAATTTCGAACTCTCTCTTGTAATTTTCAGATTGGTTATCGAATGAAATTTGCTTGAGTTTATCTCTTTCTCTCGTCTTTGGTGTGTCCAAATGCGATCCAAGCTCGACGATGTGTCCGCGGCTGTTCTAGGTTCGGTGTGTCCGACCTTCGTCTCTTTTCCGTCACTTGTCCGTTTAACCATTCTCATCCTTGATTCGAGTTCGAATTCGAGTGCCTCTTTCGAGTGTCGGTGATTGAACTCGAACCCCATCCGCTTATCACTTCGACTCTCCCACCCAATCCCGAATTCGAGTGCCTCATGCGAGTGCCGGTGATCGAGATTGGCAGCCTTCCATCCTCTTCCGATCTGGGCGTATATCACTATCCTTATCCTGGATACTCTTATCCGACCGAATACGGGCCAGCAGGTCCATCAGGCGCCCCCGCATATCACCACATCCAGCCGGAGCCGATAGTCATTTCGGACGACGAGGACTGTTTGTAGTTTATTTTTTGATTTGTTCTCCTTTGCGCTTGTACACCTTTTATAACCGATGTACATTTTGGGCCTATTTGCTATGTGATATGTTTTCTTCTCTTCAGTGTATATGAGTCTTCATCTATTTCATACGATTGTTATGCACTTTGAGGTATTCTTGTGATCAATAGAGAAACATATAGCAAAGTACGAACAAAATTCAAAGGAAAAGACACAAATTAATAAAGGAAAATACATGCTTATACAGAAAGGAGAGACGATCTACACACGAGCTCAATCGAGCTAAGCTTTCTTTCTCTTCTCTTACATTATTAATTCCCTATTACTTTAATGTCTATTATTTCTCTCCGCACCTCATCGGGTTAGACTGACACCGCGGACGGTGTCAAGTTTATGTCTGGGGAGGTCTAACGCCCTGAGAGCTCATTTCTAGCAACTGCATACACGTTTCATGCATTTCAGCATACACATAAAGTTTTTCAAAAATATTGCATCAATCTGCATTAGTTTTGCATATCACTTGCATTCTCTGCATGACATATACATTTAGAACTGCATCCGCATGAGTATATAGCTAAGACACATAGGAAACATGCATAGAAAATGTTTTTGAGAATGCTGGTTACCTGACATATGAATGATAGAGTAGAGATTCTTTGATGTTTTAGTGAACCAGACTTAGGTTTTCCTAGGTATAGACCGGATTGTCGAGTTTCATTCAAATTGATTGATTGAATCTTGGAATGATAGCGTTAGCTTGTGGGGTACACTAGAGTTTAGAAACCAGGACTATTAGAACTGTCTAGCCAAGCGTAGAAGTTTTCCTAAGAACCGTTCTGATACACGCTCTGATACCAAAATGATACACGTCTCGGTCTCGGAAGTGTTTGTCTCGGATCAGGGATGGAGTCACAAGCCAATCATCCGCTTCTAGGAGCACTCGAACTCAGCTTGGACAAAGAATGGAAATTGGGGGTGGAGTCAGGGCTAACTTTCCGATCCCGAGGGGGCACTCGAGTCCAGTCGAGACTAAAAATGGAAACAAAGTGGAGATGGGGTCGGGACTCAATCACCGGCACTCTAGCGAGGCTCTCGATCTCAAGTCCGACGAAGTATGGAACGAAATGGATAAGTAGATGGATAGAAACCTTGGACACACCAAGGGTACCTCAGACAAACCAAGGGATAACTCTCGAACATACCAAGAAAAGATAAATTTCGGACATACCGAAAGAAAAAGTTGTTTAAACTCGAAAATACTTGATAGATTTAACAAAATTCTTCTCTTACATGACAATACAAAGGTCTTTATATAGGTTAGAGATTCAACCATAAATTAAATGAGAAAGTACATGCAAAGGGGTGTGAGTCTATGCATTTATTGGGGTATTTGGGAAGAAACTAGCTGGTGGAGATGACTTTAATGAGGTAGTAAGGAAGAAACTAGTTGTTGGAGATGTCTTGATTGATCAAAAACAAGGAAGACTCGTGGTTTCCATCTGTGGCTCGCTTAGCACGTGATGAACGAATGTGTTGAAGCGCTTTTGAAGACCTTGTGCGTTAGCTCGAGTGAGTGGTAGCTCAGAATGAGGTGGCACTGAATTTGCTCGAAGTGGCACTCGGGTTGCATGAAGTGGCACTCGGTTTGCTCTAGCTTTTGGTTCGACTTTTCTAGCTTCGTTGAGCGTGTTTTCTATCTTTTGTTTTGGCTATGTGTCCTTGCCTAGTTGTGCTCCTTCCGTCCGTGCTCCATCCATTTGAGCTTCATTGTCCGACTCCTTGTCCGATTGTGCTCCATCTAGTGGTGCTCCATGTATCCTCCCGTTACGTTCCTTGTCTATAGTATTTTCGATGGGTCCAAGGAATGCATCATTCTCTCCCTCTTCTGAAGATTTTGCCCTCAAAACTTGCTTACCTACATCAAACGTATCCAAGTCAGCATTGTTAAACACAAAAGATACATTATACATACCTTGGTCTTGAAGGATGTGTTTGCATCGTTTCGGCGCTCCTTAAGTAGGTGGAAATGTTCTTCTTGTGTTTTTCTTCTTCTGAAGGGCTCATATTTCTTTTTTATCTAGAGAAGTAAGACAATTGTGCTCCTTGAATTATTCATGATTCATTGATAAGGGTGTCCAGTTCCATTTGTTTGGATGAGGCTTGTAGTCATACACGCTTGCTTTGCCTCAACCTCCTTTTTGCCAATATACAAGCTCTGCAAGATAACAGTAAAGTCTAGAACAATAAAAATGTTAGTGCAACTTGTGTTCTCATCAAGTTGCTTCTTCTGATCATAAACAAGAATAAAGATCATAACGAAGTTATCGCGTAAGGCTCTTGGAGTAAGGAACACGACCCAAATGTGTGTTCGAGTGTTGGTGGCGTTGTAATGTCGGATCAAGTTCTCCACATTTGTAACTTTCCCCATTCAAATGGTGCGTCCTTTTTTGGTGCCATGGGCATTAAACTGAACATGTTGCTTGGGTGTCCATTGAGTTAATGGCAAGGGATACTCAAGACATGCAGAATTTGAGCTTGAAAAATGCACGTAGCTGCTTCTTCTTGCACTTCTTTGACCCTTTCATCAAAATGTAGTACTTGCGAACAATTAGCAAGATATAGAACAACAACCTCGTTAGTGTAGTAGGTACATCCCTTGAGATCTTTATAGAGGTAATCGTTTGGAAAGTTCGCATTTGTTGCTCAAGTTGCACAACATACTCATCGACGCATGAATCATAGACAATAATAAAAATAGGAATAAAATTAACGGTTGCTCCAATTTTTTGACTTATGATGCAAGTGCGGTTGTTGGTGGTGTCATTTGTCATTGCCGATGGTTTGCTTACAACCTTGAAGCCAGTATTTTCCTTCTTGGACGTGACTTCTATTTGCTCAAACCAATCCAATCGTATCATTCCTATGTCCCATTTGACTTTGTCCAAGTTCTCACCTACTATCACATTCTCCGATTTGTTGGCCTCGTCATTGCTTTCCGTCGCTTTCTTGTTGTTGGAATCCTCAATGATGTTCTTGACTCCAAATGCATCTTTCTTGACATCATGCATTTCTTCATTTGCATTCACAACACTTGTGGGTACTTCTTTAGTCACGAGGTCGGGATCTTCGACTGGTTCCTCTTTCTCTTCGTTCACGTACTCGGTTACCTTCTTGGACATAACCTCATACTTCTCTTCGAGATTTACCACAACCTCAACTATGGATTTGGATTCCCCGTCATCCTCGATGATGATTTCTCGTTGGTTGGGACATTCATGTGCTATATGACCTCGATCCTTACACTTGTAACACATGACCTCACGTATATGATTAGTACACGAGGAAAAAGTTGTGTTACCTATTGTGGTGGTTTTCGTTGAATTTATGATGGGTTCTCCCTTGTCTCGTGCATCACTATCCTTCGCCTTGGCTTTGTTTTCGTTTTTGACAAAGCTATTGCTTATAGGCTTTTTTGCTTGTGTGTGCCCATTCCTTGTCGGGCTTTTGTCCATTTGTTGCTCTATGTGAATTGTCGTATCCACAAGATCCTGCAAATCATTATATACTTTTTGTTATACCTTTCTAGCGATTCAGTCTTGCAAGCTATCTAGAAAGTGTGTCATGATTGCTTCTTCTTTGCCATCGATTTCCAAGTAACTGAGAAGCTGTTCAAATTCTCTGAAGTAGCCCTCAACCATCTTCTTTCCCTGCGCTAAGTTACGAAACTTGTATCGCAATTCATGTAGAAAATGTTGAGGAACATACCTTCTACGCATCAAGATTTTCATCTTCTTCCAAGTGGTGACCGGATCATAACGCGTACGTCGTCGATCGATCTCTTCTCTTTTCCACCAAGTGAAACCATCTCCTATGAGTTGGCTTTCGGCATATTGCACCTTTCTAAGCTCCGTCCCTTTATAATCTTCAAAAATTTCTTCCATCCGCTTCTCCCATTCGAGATAAGCTTTCAGATTAGTTGTTCCCAAAAATAAAAGAGATCTCGGATCGGATTTGTTACCTCGGGTATGTTGAACATATGGCTGCTCACGGATGATCTTTTCTTTCATACCTTGTTCTTCAGAGTGTCCACGATCATGTACCATTCGTTACTTTTGGCTTGGTTGTGGACAACTATTACCATTACCTTAGTAGATTTGAGTCGCTTGACGTTGTTTTGGTACATTTTCAAGACGAGCGAGTCGTCCTTCAATGTCTTGAAGAATTTTCAACATAACACTCTTGCTTGATCCTTTGTTAGCTGCCACACTCGACATGTTTTCAATCAAAGCGTTTCAACAAGATAATGACTACAAAAGGTATGAATTTTCGAATCAAAACAAAACTTGAACCTGAATTTTTTTTAGGTTTTTCTTTCGAAAACAAAATGAAGATTAATAACAAAGATAAGATAAATGATAGATATCATCGTGATTACGATGTCCATTGAAGCGTTGGCTCTGATACCAAAATGATACACGCTCTGATACCAAAATGATACACGCCTTGGCCTCGGAAGTGTTTGTCTCAGATCAGGGATGGAGTCACAAGCCAATCATCCGCTTCTAGGAGCACTCGAACTCAGCTTGGACGAAGAATGGGAATTGAGGGTGGAGTCAGGGCTTACTTTCTGATCCCGAGGGGGCATTCGAGCCCAGCCGAGACTAAAAATGGAAACAAACTGGAGATGGGGTCGGGACTCAATCACCGGCACTATAGCCCAGGCTCTCGAACTCAAGTCCGACGAGGTATAGAACGAAATGGATAAGTAGATGGATAGAAACCTCGGTCACACCAAGGGTACCTCGGACAAACCAAGGGGTAACTCTCGGACACACCAAGAGAAGATAAATTTCGGACACACTGAAAGAAAGAGTTGTTTAAACTCGAAAATACCTAATAGATTCAGCAAAAGTCTTCTTTTACATGACAATACAAAGCCCTTTATATAGGCTAGAGACTCAACCATAAATTAAATGAGAAAGTACATGTAAAGGGGGTGGGAGCCTATGCATTTATTGGGGTAGTTAGGAAGAAACTAGCTGTTGGAGATGACTTTAATGAGGTAGTTAGGAAGATACTAGCTGTTGGAGATTCTTTATTGATCCAAAACAAGGAAGACTCGTGGTTTCCATCTGTGGCTCGCTTAGCACGTGATGAACGAATGTGTTGAAGCGCTTTTGAAGACCTCGTGCGTTGGCCCGAGTGAGTGGTAGCTCAGAATGAGGTGGCACTCGGGTTGCATGAAGTGGCACTTGGGTTGCATAAAGTGGCACTCGGTTTTTCAGAAGTGGCACTCTGTTTGCTCTAGCTTTTGGTTCGACTTTTCTTGCTTCATCGAGCATGTTATCTATCTTTTGTTTTGGCTGTGTTTTCTCGCCTAGTTGTGCTCCTTCCAGTCGCGCTCCATACATTTGAGCTTCATTGTCTGACTCCTTGTCCGATTGTGCTCCATCTACTTGCGCTCCATGTATCCTCCCATTATGTTCCTTGTCTATAGTATTTTCTATGGGTCCAAAGAATGCATCACGTTCTCCATTCGTAGGAATATTAGGCCCTAGTATAGTCGAACTGAGCTTAAACCACTGTTTTACCACTCTTACTTTTAGCTCGTTAGACAACAGGCTTCTCGCCTGGAGGTGGCGGCAATCATCACGAGATGAGTTGTAAGCCTTGTACCATACCTAGACTTTTTGACTTTTAGACCTATATATGCCGAGATACTCTGGAAAATGAAAGTAAAAAAAAAAGTCGGGAAAAGGGAGAAAAAGAAAAAGAAAAAGAAAAGAAAGAAAAAAAAGAAAAAGAGAAAAAGAAAAGAGACTCCCGAGGCAAAAGAAGTAGAAAAGCGTTTTATAATTAGAAGAGTATCTATACTTAGAGTGATATGCATAGACTCTCTTCTACACTCACCTTCTTAGCTTTTCCCATAACCTTAGGACCGAACTATTCTTGTGAACAGTGATAAATAGGTTTGGAAAACGTGTTTGGTAGATAGTTAGAACAGTCTGGGTGGCACTAAGCGATAAGAAAAACCCCATAATTATTATTCATTCCGAGGGACGAGAGATCATAGTAGAATAAACTTGATTCCATTGACGGTAGCTAGAACTAGATGAGAATCTCGCTTTTGACATTCATATGGAATCGACCCTTCGTTCTCATTCTCCCTTTTTAGATTGTTTTTCCTAGAGTTTTTTGCACGAGGACGAGCAAAAGTCTAAGTCTGGGGGAGTTGATGACATCGGTTTTTGACATTATTTTCCTATGGATTTAGCTGCATTTCACCCCTCTTTTCGGTGCAAATCTAGCATTTAGGTCATATTTTGCGCAAAATACCGTTTTCTTTGCTTTTTGATGTAATTTCAAGAATACTCGCGTAATCAGATGAAAACAGAGCTAAAATGATGTTTTTTGACCTTAATTAGACCAAGTGGACGATCATGAACAAGCTAAGGAAGGTCACAGACTTGTCGAAGGCGAGAAACGGTCTTCGGAGCCGCACAGGAAGGATCTCGATGTTGAGAACATCGATATGGACATTTATAAACAACGATATCAACGTTTTCAGCTACCTCGAGATTAGACTTTCAGATTTCCAGATCTAGACATTCCCGAACATCGATATCGATGTTCCATACCTCGAGATCTGAGCAGTCCAAATATCGACCTTTCACAACGTCGATATCGACCTTCTGAAACCTCGAGATCTTGACACCTTGGGAGAATATCGACATTAACCTCGATATTTTGAAATGTCTATAAAAAGGCCGTACGGAAACTGAGGGTTCGACACTTTACACATTTTTCGATATTGTTCGATAATTTTTGGATCTAGACGTTTTTGGAGACGATTTGGAGTGGAGATTGCTAGATTTCATTGTTCAAGGATTGATTCTTCATACTATAAGTCTTCTATTCCTTTTTCTATTGAAATGTTGTATGAATCCATGTCTATTTCGTTTTTCTCCATGATGTGTGAGTAGTTTAATTGCTGTAGGTTAGGGAATCTAGCCATGTTACGGAATTATCAATGTGCATAAACGGTTGAATGCATATCTAAGTTAGATCTGGTTTTATGAATTGAACGTAATGCTTTCTTAAGATTGATCATCCTATAGAATTGAACCTGGATTAGTTAATTGCAAAGGAATTTGGATTTATTAATATCAGAATTCGTTCATAGGATAGGTTCAATTATTAATTCTGAACGCATAGGTTGGACTTGATAAGGAATTCTTAATTCGACCTAGGAACTATGATAGCGAACGTTAATGCTTCTACCATAGACCTAAAGATGCGGAAGCTGATAGGAAAGCGTTAGTTAGAGAACGAAGATCCCTGACCAGACGCGTTCTAGGAGGCTAGAGTTTTCTGAATCGATCTTAGGCTGCAAACCAACCACATCTACTTAGATAATCTGTAGCATCGGTGAACCCCCGAACCTACAGTGCCTTTAATTATATTTTTCTCCCAACCAACCAACAATCTTGCTAGGATCACCATCGGCACCATTACCTCTCAGTCCCTGTGTTCGACCCTGATACTATGTCGAATTTGTACCCTTGCGGAATCGACTTAGTCTAGGTATTTATTACTTGACCATCCATTCACCTAGATTGGCATGATCACCCATCGTACCTCGGGTTAGCTATGGAGCCTGGTCGGGAACGTCGTCGGTTCTCGCTGTAAGTCTAGCAGGTCGTGTCGCCATTTCACTGCACTACATTAAGGCAGTTTAGTAACTAATGATCGATAACTGCATCATCAATGTACGGACCTCGACACATGAGGATTTCCTTCGGGCATGGTTTGAAAACATTTTGTAGAAAACTGTTAGGTAATGAGTACGATTCCTTCCCGTGGAAAGAATGTAGCTCTGATATCAAAAGTTGTGACATCTGTAATCCGTATATAGTATATAGGTTGTACCACATGGATAAATATGATAATAAAATAATACAGAAGCTAAAATATGAAATCCAAAAACATTTTTCAAACTAGAGTAAGCAGGGAAATACATCACGCGATCAACATCGCAAAACAACACATGTCTGAATGATAAATAATACAATCGTACAAAAGACATGAATGCATGTCCCGTAGTCCAAAATACAAAACTCATACAAGATGTTACCTCTCTCAAGTCGTTGTCGCCTAGATGTGCTACGTGTACTCCACGTGATTTGAAAAAGATAAAACCAAGAGGACTAAGCATAACTGCTTAGTGAGTAGTCCGGATTATACCCGGTAATCTCGTTCTCAGCAAAAATGGTACTAAACGATGATTCGCAATCAACATAGCACATTAACAACCATGCATAATCACATCACATCAATCACATTCACATCAATCACAATCATACCCATATGACGTCGCATCATAGGGTTAACCATAATCCCTAGTCAAATCGGCAAGACTAGGAGCGCCTCATACGCCCGAGTTTGCCGTTGCATCACACTACTATATGCGTCTCACGCACATGCCACTTCTTGTGACTACCGATGTCAAGTCCTGACACAACGGAATACAATCACAACCGTATTGAGTCCATCATAGGGTTAGTCATCAACCCTAGTCAAGTCAGCATGTCTAGGAGCGCCTCTACGCCTGTCACCTCGCGTGACGTTGGCCGTCGCGTCGCACATGACTATATGTGTCTCACACGCTCGTCACGTCGCATGACGGTGATGATTGCCTCGCACTACCATATACAAACACAATCATGTATTACTCGCGTCGCACAAGCAAGCTACAAACATAGCACATATCATGCATATATATTCCCGATACAATCACGACGTCGCGGTATCTGACCCCTACCGATCTATCGTTAATCACCATGCAAGCTACCTAAAATAATCACGCAACAAGTCACTCTCATCATTGTGTCGCACATCTCACCGCTCGTAACAAATCGAAAATTCATTGAAGAGTAGGTTATGCGCTTTGGACCGGTCGGTCTACTGCCCAGACCAATCGGGCTAGGCTCATCGTTCCATCTCTAACTTCTCATTCGTCCATCCCACTTCAGTCTGTTTGGACAACGCTTGTGAGTCCATTCGGACTGCAAGTCGGTTCGTCCGCATTGGCACTGTCGATTCATCTTGACTGGGACTGCCGGGTCATCCGGACTAGGTTTATCAGTCCGTTCAGACTAGGTAATCAGTCCGTTCGGACTGGTTCTGCATTCATCTTCTCCACGAAAAAAAGTTTTCTAGACCGACTTCTTTTGATCATTTCTCATTCTTTTCTCAGCCAAATTACGTCCTGTTTGTTGCTAAAAGTTCGTTGAAATGTATTCTATCTCATACAAGTGAAAAATCATCGAAATAACACAATAACACGATGAAAATGAGTTCACACAGAAGTAACTCAACCGACTCACCTTGTTCTTGGCTCAGATTCAGTTTTGGCAAGTTCATGCTCGTTTTCTGAGCTTCTCCACTTTGAGAACTCCTTCTAGACACTCTAGGGCAGTCTTTCTTTGCATCCTGGAGCTCCTCTCTCACTCTTTCTTCCTATTTTCACCTTCTCTCTCCTTCTCTCTCTTTTCTCTTTTCTGTAACTTCTCCCCAATAATGGCTAAGTGCTGAGCTTGGAGGGTGTTTATCCCATAGGAGATGGAGCAAATGGGCTCAACCCAGATCTAAAGTCGAGCCTGCATCAGCTTCGAGGTGTTGGGTGGTGATGGTGTTGGGGAATCTACGGGTTCCTAGCATGCGATCATATCGATCTAGGGTTTGGTTTACTAGGTTTCATGCAGCGGAAGAAAAATCTAAACCTAGTCAAACGTCACACGCAACCAAACTCGCAGAACCCGAAAGATCGTGTATATCACCGAGGGAATCGTTACATACCTCGTTCTCGATGAGACTTGAAGTTTGTT